ACTTTATTTACTATATTTTATATTACTTTACCTATATACAAAATTATAACTTTGATATCTTACTTATACTATATTTATCTTATAATTATATGATTACTACAATAACTAATCTACTTTTTACAACATTTTTATACTCTACTACTCTATCAATAGCTATATATACTTATACAAATAACTAGTCCATACATTATTATATTCAAACAAATTACTCTTTATTTATCAATTAACAAATGGTTTATTTGATATTTATTATCATGGCCGTTATTATCAAATTACAGATTATGAGTTTCACCTTATAAATCAGCAATCTTCAAAAACAGCAAAATCTAGACTTTCTTCTCAGTATGGATTACGGCTTTTACCTGGACCATTGGATCCAATTTTGTGGAATCATCATTTGAATACACCGCAAGATGCCTATCATGCGATTGCCGGAAAAGTGGCTCGTCTACTTGATTGTACTTGCACAATCTTAGCATTACATGGTGAAAATAATTTAATTAACCATTGGAGAAATTTTGAAGTTCCTATACAATGGTCACATTTACCAAATCCAATTACTCATCAGCATTCATTTATGATATCGGATAACTTAAAAATTCTTATGATTTTTCCATTTATTTTAAAGCGTTGTTTAACTATCAACAGTGTTAAAAAGGATTTTTTAAAATCTACATGTGATAGGCTACATTTCTCTCATCGATCGGAAGTACTAAGTTATATTATTCATACTTGGGTGCTCTCCGCGAAAGCAGCTAAAGAGGCGTTTTCTTTAACCATTCACGGCCTAATGAATATTCTTACTTACAAACTATTTTGGATAATGAGTTTGATACTTTGATTAAAGTATGTATTTATAATTTAGGATTTATATGAAAAATTAATTATAAAAAAAAAATACTGATTTTTGTATAAGCTTTTTCCTAATAGTTTTCAGAATCTTCCTAATTTACATATAAACCGCCATTTAGTAGACTACGCACGTCAATACACAACTTGTATAAATACAGCAGTCGGTACTAAGGAAATAGTGCATCGAATATTTAAAGCTATAGTACCACATACCAACAAACGTAATCTTGAGCTTAATTTATTACAACAAATCAATACATTACAAACTTTAAGGCATCTAGTAGACAACGGAATAGATGATCGAATACCTCATTATTCAACACGATCTATTTTTATGCCATTGATTATTGCACCACGACTTTGCCATCTATTATCTGGTTGGTGTACTAATGACTTTAGCTTATTGATACACCATTCCAATGATATATTTAATGAATTGCAAATTGAAGGTAAAATAAGTATAACTAATTCTTTGTTATTGCCATGTTAAAATCCCTCAATAGCCGTTGTTACAAATTAAAATCAATACATTATTAATTTTGGTAACTTTAAATTGGAACTTTTTTATATTATACTAATATATATTTAAATTCTTTTAGACAATTCAAACACTATTACCAATAATGTACTTCTTAATCGCTCAGAAATAAAATTGGGATTAAGATGGAATAAAAGTCGAATTGAAGCTGCGGGATTTATATCAACAAATATTGTATTAAACGGCTTATTTAAGGATATTATGAGAGCTTACTCATTATATTATTCATTCGAGCAAGCTCTGTTAGATACGCAAGTTCTCTTTTACGACAACGTGTCATATACAATGTCTAAACCTAACGGTGATCATCATAATGTAAAATTGAAAGTCGGTGAAATAGTTGAAACTAAACTATGTGGTGAAAACGAACAGACATTTGGCAAAATAACTAGTATAATCGAACATTCATGGAATGACAGTCAAATATATGTTTTCCTTTGTTTTGATTGGTTAGAAGATCTCAACAGATGGGATTCATTATTAGATTGTCCAATCTATCGTATTCGACATTCACATAATGGTTCTTTGAATCGGGTTCATCCAATTTCGGTAGTTTCACAATCATCAAGTATTCCTTTTATCCACCATTGCAAATCAAGTTGTTCCTTTAGTCAACACGATACTACAAATAATGAGTATATTCGAAATGACTTTTTTTTTGTGGCAATTTAAAAATAGAAATAATTTTAGGATATCTAATGGGTTGGGTGGGCAGGATAAAAAAAACATAGACAAATTTTAACTAACTAAAATCA